ACTGAATTCTTCACGGAGGCTAATCACATCAGTTTTGCTTTTCTTCGTATTTCTAAACATTATAAATGCTCCACTGTACACTATAATGTATGTTTTTACTGACGTTCATTGTCTTGAGTCATTGACAACGCACATTCCGGTCATTCAAAAACGCTTAGTGATGTGCTGTTTTGGGATATAACTTCATTATTCAGATTTTTCAGTTTAGTTTTCTCTACCCGAATCTTTAAAAAGGAAAGCTAGAACATGTAAACTATGAAATGCGCAAAATCTTATTTTTGATTTGTGTTATGGTGCTTTGAAATCTACGTTATTAAAGAATGAAATATCAAAGTCAATTTATACAAGTGGATCCAGGGAGAATGGCAGTTTTTAATGGATTGGGGGTTTTTTTGTTTAGAAACATAAAAGGATAAATTTTGAGATGTCTTTCTCTAATACATGTTTTTAAAAATAAATTTCAAGGTAGAAAACCTGCAATACTTCAAAAGGTGTTGGTTGTTGGGTTGTTGTTGTTGTTTTTGTTTTGTTGTTGTTGTTTGTTTTTTTTTGGGGGGGGGGTTCAACAGCTGATTTAGAAGTTAAAATGTAATATCTCAGTTTTGGTATCTGCCGACTTATGGGCCCTTTTGAAACGCACGCACACAGTTATATAACTTTTATTTTATATTTTAAATATTATTGTATTTTGTTGGGTTTTTTTGTTGTCATTGTTGTTCTGTGTCATTTTGTCTTTCTTTTTAAAATACTTTTCTGTGCGTACGTAAACGTTAATTCTGTCTCCGTTTTATGAAGGTTTTGATTCACAATACATATATTTTGTTTGTTTGGTTTTTTATGTTATTATTTTAATTTATAGAAATAACTTTCCCTTGTTTTCTTTTTTCCATGTTTTGTGTAGGATCCTGCTTTCGTTATCTTTGTTATAATATTATGTCATGACATTTTCATGTGTAGGACAAGGTAGCGTCTGAACATAAGGATGCGTAGATCTGGGGTTTGTGTCTTTTCGCATCATTCGATATTATCATCCACTGATTTTTTTCCCCTAAAAATTGTTTTCAAATTCAACTTACTGGCATCTCTGGTGTAGCGGTTAGGCGCGTAACCCTATCTGTACGCTCTGATGTCATTTTGTACCCCTGGAGTTGTATTCTTCACATTTTAGAATACTTCTAGAACGAAGATCTCTTTGAAACTTTCAATATTTCTCAAAAAATCATTTTGACAGACTGCTATGCAAAGCATGCGGATCAGATTAACGAGTAAATTTCCTCTTTTGAAAGTGGTAGCACAGCTCCCCATGTCGTATGGATACGATAGTAATACACAACGTACGGATAGGGCTAACTATCACACGCTGGAAACCTGATTTCAATATTCCATAGTGAGGGTAATTTTTTTTATCGAATATATGTATTTCTGCTGGGATGATGTATCCCTCTCAGCCAGCCTGGGTTGGAGCTGATAGGAAAAGTAGGAAGCCTGCCTCTTCAAAGATCTAAGTTGTGTGAATCAGTTAGGGCATACATTAAAACACCTACTTTACAAACACAAATTTAGGTTAACTTTTGCTGTATGTAAAAAAAATGTTTTATTTCGGGG